GAGTAGATAAGATTATAGGTGTGAGCCACTGGCTCCTGGCTGAAACTAGAGTTTTAAATACCAGGCCCAAGCTCCAGGAGATTCAAATGGTCACCTACTTCTGTAGGTCAAACAAGGAGATGGTAATGAAGAACAAAGAAGGATTTATTTTATAGCATGGACAGCTACAGAAGAGTACTTTACTTCATCAGAGTATAGATGTGAACTACAGGTATAAAGAACTAAATGTAGGGGAAAGAGGTCTGCATAAACAGTCCCAGTTACAGACATTACCCAGTGGTCAGAAGTGATCTGACAGTTTATTGTCTCAGGATTGGTCAGGTGGGACATTATTGTAATAAGTGTCATTGATGCCTGATGGTCTGGATTCGAGATAGCTGCCAGAGAGAAAGATTTAAGGCAAAAAACAGATGCAAAAGGAAGGCTAGGATACCTAGCTTTTCTCTTGCTTTTAGTTCAATTCATGGACCCAAGTAAATACTTTAAAAAAGATTTAAGCACCTGTCACAGTTGATGTTTGTTTGAAGTTATATGCTGCTAATTTAATTGCTTTACTCAGTGAAAGAGAAATAACTGATAGTACTGTTTGAGGCCCTTCCAGTATATTAATATAGTAAACTTCTAGAACATTCCTCTGAAAGAAGTGCTATTTTGACCCTATTTCTGATAGAGGAAAGAAAGGGAAATTAACTTTCCTGATCATATAGCTATGTATCCAGGGCAAAGCTAGGATTTGAACCCAGTTCTTACTGCTCCAAAACTTGTACATTTACAAAGAACTTTCCTTTCTTTAATACTGTACCCTGTAGAAAGAGACAAAGAGAGCTGCTCTGTTTGTTCAGTTGGGTAGACATCTGTTACTAGATTTCCATCTAAGTGTTTCAGTGGCCTTCAGTGCTGAGGCACTAGAGCCAAAGGTGAGTGGTATCAGTCAATAAGTGGCTATCCTGTAGCGGTGTTTGCTTTGTGGTAACTAAACAAATACTGTGTCAGGTGACTAGGCTGGGGTGGGGGTAGACTAAGCAGGAGAGATTACTGCAATTTGTCTGTACTGCTACTGAGAGAAGAGTCTCATCTGTCTCTGTTTCTGTCTCTGTTTCTGTCTTTCTGTCTCTGTCTCTCTGTCTCTGTCTGTCTCTGTCCCTGTCTCTCTCTCTCTCTTTCACACACACACACACACACACACACACACACACACACACACGACACACACACACACACCAGTGTGCTAACGGCACAATCCTTACCATTGTCTTACAATCTGGCCACAGAATAGCAGGTTATCTTTGACCCTGTTCTGTAACTAATGAAGCCCAGCCCCCAGGAAATCCCTAAACTTGTCTTTCAGGTTAGTTATTTAGAGAGGATTTAGGGAGTAAGAGCGCTTCTCTTCTGACTTACAGAATCTATTTGTGACTGTGTATCAAACAGAATCAAAGAGCTCTGCCAAGGCAGGTTTTCCCCTGGCAGTGTCTGTAGCTTGTTTCTCAGCTACTCTTGTTTTTACTGAAAGAGTTAAATCAGCAGCTCCAGGGTTAGAGTAGAGGAATCTACAGCTTCCTGGTGCTGACCTGGGAGAGGAAGCCCAGCTGTCCAGGTTACTATTCTTGTGGAAATGAAATCAATCCTCCATGTGGAGTCATGAACGGGGACTAACCAGGCTTTCCTGGGAACAAGTGTTAAACAAGTGCAGTTTATCCTCCCTGAATATACCTGGGCAAGTATACATCTTTATAAGCTATTTGTGCTTTTAAATACAACTGATGTCTGAATTCTGATTTTATTTTAGAAAAATGGATTATAAATGCTTTTGTACTGATGGTGGAAAAGTAGCTTAGAAAGGCTAGCAGGATGAGAATCTATTGACTTGTGTCTGAATTTTAGTGTGTATTGTTGGCAATGGTGATTGCAGCCTCTCTCCACATATATATGGAGAAAATGAGCTTGCCTGGAATTTGTGTTTCACATCAGTGAGCTGCACAGAGCCCTGGTCAGCCTCAAGGAAGATCTGGTTGATTACACTCAAAAAGGGACGGTCATGGATAGGGTCTTAAGGGGTTTTGTGAATAACAGAGTCCTTCGTTATCCTTTTCATTTTCTTTTTACCCCATGCCCTCTAAGACATCTCTTCCTTAATCTCTGTTTTATCCCCAGAGTAAGGTGACTAAAAATACATTCCTACCACTGCTGGACTGGTATTTTTGCAAAGCAAAAGCAGCTTGTAATACTAGCTACTTAGGAGGATGAGATCTGAGGATCTTGGTTCGAAGCCAGCCCTAGCAGGAAAGTCCAAGAGTCTTATCTCTATTTTTTATCCCTCCCCCAGAACTGGAACTGTGGCTCAAGTGGTAGAACATTTAGCCTTAATAAAAAAAAAAAAAACCTCAGGAATAACCAGGTGCTTGTGGCCGATGCTAAAATCTGAGAATCAAGGTACAAAGCTAGTGTAGGCGGGAACATCTGAGATTCATCTTCAATTTGCATCAAAATGTTGGAAAGGAGCTGTGGCTCAACTGACAAAGCTCTAGCTTGAGCAAAATAGCTCAAGGACAGCACGCAGGCCCTGAGTTCAAGCCCAAAGACTGGTAAGAAACAAATACAGCATCAATAACAAAAAAAAAAAAACAACTCTGCATAGTGTGTTAGAGTATTTTAGACTTTGCCAGAAAACCACGCAGACATCCAGGTACAAAGAACAAAAGGACCGGAAAGGGACCGGCAAGACTGGCTGTTGTTTGGGGTGACCTATTTAACCTGCTGAGGCTGGGAGTGGCTAGAAGGGGCTAGGAGGTGGAGACCCTGTGAGGGCCAGGGGCTTCACGATGCTGGACTAGGATGTATGGCTGCAGCCCAAATAGTAGGGATGGGGTCCTGCAACTGCCCAGACCTGAAGGTCACTCTAAGGGGCTCTTGCTGCCTTACATGGTGCCATCTCAAGGGGTTGGAGGCCTTTGCTAAAGGGGCTAGTGTTGCCTAGGAAGGGAGTATGCTACGCTGTGGACATGGGGAGCAGTGCGCTAAGCTATGGGAAGGGAGCTCATTGGACTAACATAGTACCTAAGCCCCGAGTTCAAGCCCAGGACCAGGGAGCTATGGTTCAACCTGCAGAGCCCTGGCTTTGAACAACATAGCTCAGAAGCAAGACAACAACAAAAACAAAAATAAAAACTATCATAAATCCAACCTGGACACAGACAGCTCATGCCTGGAACCAGCTATTCAGAGGTTGGGATCTGAGGGTCAAGGTTCAAACCCAGCCTGGACAGAGAAGCCTGAGACTCATCTCCAGTTTACACCAAAAAGCTAGAAGTGTGTAGGGTCTTCCCCGGGCCACACAGGCCCTAGCCTCTCTACCACTTGGCTAACTCTCAGCGTGGTACCCGTGTCACACCTGCCTTCAGGTGTGCAGGTGACCACCTCTGAGGGAGGGTTCCAGGCCCTGAGGTCACATCTGCATCCAGTATGGCCACATTTTCCCTCACCTGGCTGCACCTACTCTCAGCCCCTTCCCCTTTCAGCCATGCCTCTCCACCATGTACCATGCACATTCGGGGAGCAGTTTGCTGATACAACAAACTTCTCTTCCTGCCTGAATACCGCATGTGTTCTCTTTACCAGCTACCCATTTAATTTACAGCACAGCTCCACTAGTAAAATAGCTGAGGAAAAAAAAAAACAACCCAAAACTCAGGGACAGTGCTCATGCTCTGAGTTCAAGTCCCAGGACTGGCAGAATTTTTTTTTTTAAAATCGTATCAATGTTTCCAGGCCTGTAATCCTAGTTACTCAAGAAGCTGAGATGTACAGGTCAAGGTTCAACCCCATCCTGGAGAATATGCGAGACTCATCTCCAAAAAGCTGCGAATGGAGCTGTGGCTCAACAATGTGCTGTGGTAGAATACTAGCCTTGAGCAAAATAGCTCATGGACAGTGCTTAGACTTCAAGCCCCAGAACTGGCAAAAAGAAAGCTCAGGGGCAGTGCCAAGGCTTGCTTGAGGTTTGCTTGAGTTCAAGCCCCAGGACTAGCAAAAACAACAAAACCACAAAACCACATGGCTCCTACTTAGAATCTTAGGAGGCTAGATCTAAGCATCAGGGTTTAAACCTAGCCTGGAGAAGGAAAGTCTGTGAAACTCTGACTTCCAGGTTTTTGGTGTACTATGTTGGGGATGTGGCTTTGGGGGTAGCACAGGGCTTGTAGTTTAGGGAGAGCAGTGGGTTCAGTTCTGATTGTCACGTCATACTTCATACTGTGGCTCAACTAGTCAGTGTATTAAAAAAGGCAGCCACGAACAGCACCAAGGCTCTGAGATCAAGCAGGTTCAAATCCAACCTGTGCTGGAGGAGGACACAAACAAACTGGTATGGAGCTGTGGCTCAAGTCATAGGGCAATAGCCTTGAGCCAAAGCAGCTCAAGGGGCTAACGGCATAGCTCAAGTGACAGTATCTGCTTAGCAAGTGTGAGACCCTGAGTTCAGTGCCCAGCACCATCAAATACTAAGTCCATATAGCCTGAGGAACCACAAGATCAAGTGTGCTTCTGAAACACGCTAAGCCTCTTGATGTGTTAACTCCGTTCCTTGACTCTACCCAGGGAGCAAACCCCAAACACCAGGTTCAACCTTTCCCTGCTCCACCCCACTGCCTGGCCACCCCCACAGCCAGTCAACAATGACTTGTCTCCAGATATGGAAAAGCTGTCATCCTGAGTGAAGAAGAGAGTTAGCTGCCATCCAGTGTCATTCAGGCTAACCTAAGGGCTCAGAAGCAGATCATCAGGGAGTGAAGCATTTTGAAGGTGTGTGAAATCTGTGCTTCAGGGAATGGGTCTTCCCTTTGAAGTACGAAGTGACAATCAGAACCGAACCCACTGCTCTCCCTAAACTACAAGCCCTGTGCCACCCCAAAGCCACATCCCCAACATAGTACACACAAAAGCACTTTATCAGAACAACATTTACTGAGGGAAATCGATATTCCCAACAAGGAGGGAGTCAGTTATTTAGGAGGAAGGAAGCGCCCTCTCTGAAAATTCTGGAAAAGCCTTTTCTGTTTGAATAAGAGGGACAAATCTCCCAACACGGTACCTTCTGCAAAGACAGGGGCAGCTGGAGGTAGTTGACCAAGTTGACGTTTATGGGTAGTCGGTGTTGGTTTGGGTCCTGGCTCCTTGTGGGGCACGGATTGGGGGTGCTTTTGGCGGAAGGCCTTGTCTTGCGATGGCATGTTTTTCTGGGGCTGTCTGCCCCTGTCTTTGATGCATCTGTTTCTTGTGGGATTGCTCTGAGCTGCAGTGGTAGCTTTTTGACTGGAAGGGTTATTGGTTACTGTAGAGTAGGTAGCCTTGTCATTTGAGGAGTGTCTCTCGGGCTTCTCTGTTGGGATCTTTAGTTCTACCTCTTGTTGGGTCTTCCCAGCCTTCACAAAGGAAGAAGGGGGCCCTCTGGAGCAGGTGACATCCACTGAATGCCTACTGCACCCCTGTTTCTCAACAGCTTTTGTGTTTCTAGAAAAGGCAGCTTTACCTAGACCTCTTGCCTGCAGAGACAACGAAGAGCTATCCTTCCCTGGAGAAACTTCTTGGCCTTTGAGTTTTGTACCAGGGCTAAGCCATTGGAAAAATCGTTTAATCTGGTTTCTGAAACTACTTTCAGAAGGAGGCTGTCTCTTCTGTGACAGGGCTGGGGAAGACTTGCTCCCAAGTGTCTTCTCTGCCCTGTCTGGAGGGAGGCGGCTCAGTTGGGATTTCTCTAGTCTGGCATCCCCTCTGCCAGGTTCATGCACTTTGGATACCTTAGGGCTCACTCTCTCTGTAGTTGAGGGGGAATTCTTGGCCTGGCATTTGAACATAATGTGACTAGGTTCCTCCTGCTCTTCCATGCTAGTCCTTCTGTTGTGCAACTGAACATAAAGTACCTGGGAGGCTGCTGTGTCCCCAGTGGAGACAACCTGGTGATGAGTCAGCGAGGTCTGCATTGTTGGAGGGGAATTCTTGGCCTGGCATTTGGGGATAATGTGGCTAGGGACCCATGGCTCTGGCTGCTGCTGCTGCATGCTGCTCCCTCTCCTGCATGACTGAACATGAAATACCTGGAAGGCTGCTGTGTCCCCACTGGGAACACCCTGGTGATGAGTCAGCAATGTCTGGATTGTCTCCTTATCTGAAGTTGGGGGTGGGTCAGCGGGAGCTTCCTGAACCTGCCTCTGCTTCCTGTCCTCCAATATTAACTTCAACTCATCAATCAGTTTGCTTTTAAGTTCTTCTATTGATATAGAATCGGGAACTGAGATTCTCGTTAGGGACATTTTAGTAGTCAGGGTAGTTTCTACTTTTTGAGAATTCACTTTAGTCACTGGGGTCATCAGGTTATTAGGTTGTGATTGGAAATTAGGATGTTTTCCTGCTTTGATTAGCTCCTTGGACTTGTCAGTCATAAGAAAATGCTCTAAATTCTTCATTTTTCTCTGAAACTTTTTGGTATTATTGCTGGAACCCTCGCTCTTATCTAGTATCTCAGGTTCAGTCCCAGCTTGTCTGTGCACAGCTTTATCTCCACTGTTATTTGTATGGGACAAAGCTTTGAGTTTGCCATCTTCAACTGCAAACTGAAGACTGGTATAGAAGCGTGATTTCTTTACAGTCTCCTGTCCTCTTTTGCCCACAGGTACAGTGGCAGAGAGGCAATTATCCACAACAGGGACATTGGCTGTTCTCATTGTGTCCTCATGAAAAGTGTTAGAGGGTCCTATTAGAGGCCCAGGAGCCTCAATTTTAGAATCCGCCTCAGAAATAAGAACGTCTGAGGACGGAATTTGTAAGTAAGAGTTTGTTTGGGGCTCTTTTACATTGAAGATTTCTATGGATTCTTGAACCTTCTGTGGAAGGCCATTCACCATTCTCCAATGAAAAATCTTAATATGATCCTCCAAAATCTTTTGCCTTTTACCATAAGGGAAAGAACTAAAGATGCTGTCTTTTCTCTCCAATGGCACCAAATCTTTCACTTGGCTGAGGAGATGCTCACAAACATTCACTTTGACAGAATGCCTTGAACTCTGCACAATTTCTGGGATCTGACCCTTACTGATTTCATCAAATTTCTTGCTCAGATGTGCTTCCAGGGCCTCCTTCCGGTGTTGACTTGCCTCTAAGGTGGTTGAGTGATGTCCTGAATGACTATCTACAGGTCTTTCTTGGTCTGTGTGAGTGTCAGGTGCTGGAACCACCTTTGCAGGGCTCAGTGGTCGAGCGTTTTTTCCGGTCTGTGAACCGTGTCCTTGTTCTCTCACATCCTGTTCTAGAGGAGGCATCTCTGAGCTCCTCTCACAGAGCTGCCTTTCTAACTGTTTCGGTTCAACCTTGCTTAAATTTTTGCTGCTGGGATGAGTAAAAACAGGAATGCATGCGAGCCCACGGCTACTCTTTTCCTCAGTGTCCTGGGAAATCTCTGTCAGAGGAATCATCGATGACAGAGATGAAACGATCCTGTCGGGCAGGCCCCAGCGGTGCTGGATGAGCCTCTTTCGAAGGTGATGCTCTAGTTTTTTCCGGAGCTCATCGTCAAGAGGAAAGTCTCCAGGAAGTATGGAGACGGAAGAATCATGGGCCTTACAGGCCTGTTTAACAAATGAAAAGTGGGGAGCTGGAGGACAAAAGTCTTCCTGGGATTTTTGGATGACAGGGGGTAAGCCCCATATGTTTTTCTGAACTTTCTGTAGTATGTTATATTCTAGAGCACCGATTTGAGACGGTGTAAGAAGCTGTGTCCCGCTCTGAGGCTGAGGCGTGTGAAAACACACTCCGCAGTTGCAGAGCTGAGATCCAGAAGGTGCCACGACTGGAAGAGGGGATTCGAGCTGGGCCTGGAACTGGTCAGAGGGGAGCTGCTGGGAGGGAGACTGGAGAAGGGCTTCAGACAGGGCTTGAAGTTGAATCTGGGGCAAGGCCAGAGTGGTCTGGCCAGAAATGACAGTGGGCTTATGGGCACTGTAGGCATGAAGAGTTTGGTTGAAGCAGGTGGAGGGACAGTCACCTGAGGCAGGGACAGTAGAGCCCAGGGACTCGCAGTGGAGGGATGGGAGGCCCCAGAAAAGCTGGGTCGACCCTTTCTGTGAATGGTCCTCAAAGACCTTTGGACGTGGGGGCTGCTGGTGGTGCATGTGAAAATTCTCCTGTCTGCCTGTGGTGCCTGCAAATGGGGGGGACTGTGCTGAGTCTTGGTGATCAGCAACAGACGGCAGCAATTCCCCTGAAACACTCGGCTGGCGCTCGGGCTGCGACTGATTGCGGAAAGATTGTGTTTTATCTTCCTTGTCCTCTGACATCAAGAAATCGCCTCTCTTTTGGATTTGTCTCTCCAGCAGTGTCAGGACATCAGAGCAGATAAACGAGGGAGTTTCAGAATTTATAATATAGGTGGTGGTGTCTCCCTCCATAGAACTCACAAGACTATCGAGGTCAGTAAGCGCTTGGTCCCTATCCTGTTGTGCCAAGCTGGGCGGAGGCAGGTTTGCAGCGTGGGGCTGCAGCACGGGGAGTTTGGACACAGAGAGGCTTGAGCCGTCAATGGCTCTGTTTGAGTCGTAAGTGATTGCTGGGTAATAAGTGGGCAACCCATCAAGGCTGTCCACCAGACACAAGGAGGTGTCTTGTCCTGTTTCCTGAGTATTACATGGGCAGGGGGAAATTCCAGGTAGGAATGGGTCCTCCCGGAACTGGGAATCCATGGGAGAAGTAGACGATGATGACAGAGAGTCTCCCGGTGGGGGAGGTGGAGGTAAGTTCTTTAAGGAGGTGGCTTTGTAGAGAGAGACATTGGAGGAGGATGAGAGGCAAGGTTCGGGTGAAGTGGCTGGCGTTGAATGTTCTGGAGGGCTTGTCAAACATGCGAATGATGACTTTTTTATCAAAGCCGTGGAAGCCACACGGGACACAGGGAGAGGATCATTTTCCAGGGATGCCCTAGACAGCAGACGACTGACCTTAGCCGTGGTTCTGTTACATATGGGACAGAGGGGGTCTGGACACAGCAATTTCCGAAAGGGGGGGATGTCATCAGATTGGTTCGGTGGGCTGCAGGAGACAAAAAGTGCAAGGCTATTGCCAGGACTGACATGGGGAATGGAGGGCCTGCCAGTGAGGGGGGGAGGGGGACACCTGCAGCCATACACCCCTTTGTGCTCTTACACATCTATCTACGACCTCATAGTACTTACTGTCTCCTTTCATACACCCGTTGCTGAAAACTAGCCACCCATCTCTCCATGGGTGCTTATAATGTGAAATGGGGACCAGGAAAGAAGAATGGCTAATTACCTTTTAAAAATAGAAAGAAGTTTCCTCTCCTCTTCAATGTCTCTCTGGCAAGTTCTCTGGCCTGGAAAACCAGAACAGTGTAATGAAAGTGGAAACAGAAGGATGGTGGAGGAGTCTCTTTAGGAAACACTTAGGGTGGTTACCTAGGACATGGGTGTGAGGGAGAACAGCGCCTTCCTTACACAACTGAAGTTGTGGCTTGACTCTCACCTGGCCCCCTACTGGGCAGAAACCCATGCCCAGGTCTATCACTGCCTCATGCCCAGAGCTGGCAGAACAGACTCTGAGAAGGATCTTGGGGCTGACTGTCTACCTGTGAGCCTTTCCTCTGAGGACTCATTTTCTCAGAGAGACGATGTGTAGCAACTGACTTCCTCAGAGACCATGGGCTTTGACACCTCATGAAAGGAAAAGGATCCCCATTGATGAATTCCCATCACCCACAATAAGACATTACCTCTAAATGCTCCTCTCCTCTTCCGTGAAATTCTGCCTTGATTCTGAGAACAAAAAAGAATGAGGCTCAGTTTCATTCGTTTCTTTCTCTAACAAGTTGAGACATTATCTGGGAATTGATTCATTACATTGAACAGAAATTTGCTGTTATTTTATTGTGAAACATGGTCCACTATCTTCAGTTATTTGCCCGTCACCGCACACACGGGTCTTCACTCAGAGGGCCTCTGCTAGAGAAGGGCATCACACCTGCAGCCACCAGCTACAGCTGTGCTGCTCCCTCCCCTGAGGAGGACAGAGCTCACACTTGAGGCTCTGCTCCGAGGACCTCAGAGGGCAGCACTGCTCTTGTGTGCATCTGGGCAGGAAGGAAAGCTTGTGCAGGACGCCTGACTTGGGGACAGGACTCAGGATCACCTGTCAGAAACCACACCTTTTCATGGTGCTCACACCGTGTAAGTTAACCCACAGTTAGGAAGCAAGTCACTGTCCCTGTCTGGTTCAGATGGACACCTGAGCCCTCCCATGCTGGGCCTCATGCCCTACAGCAGCAGTACTTCATCTCTTCAAACTTCCCACGTCAAACATAACAAAATCTCTTGAGGGGTCACCCACGCTTCCTTACCTTTTGAATGTTTGCATGGATCCAAAGGGTTGCATAAACATGTAGGAACAGCCGGTAACCCAAATACAAAATCAGGACCCCCACGGCACCCGGAAGGGTGTAC